CCCCAAAACCCCAAAACCCCTACAATGATCATAGTAGTATTAAAAGTGAATATAAAATCATTAAAAAAATTTAATTTCATTCTTCCACTCCTTGAAGCGACATAAAAACATATCTTCACTTTAATTAATGTTCACTATAGTAGAAATTAAATTTGTTCTTGGAGTTTGCTAAAGTCATCAAACTAGATGTTTTGAGGAAGTAAATCATTCAGTAAATCTCTATTGATTAAATCTATTCCTCTATCTAATGCTTATAGTTCGTGTTCCTAAGCCACCTGCTTACTTTATATTGCTTCTTACAAAGCTTTTATCTTGTTTAATAAATCTCTGTTTTCTGGGCTGAATTCTGGCGTACTCGTGATTTCTAGGATCATTTCATTCATGTCAGTGACTGAGTAGCCTTCGTACTAAATTGAGTTTACTGCTGTGATGTACTCATTAATTGCATAAATTTCATTGTTAAATTAGAATATCCCATCAACATTCAATTGCAGATTGATTTTATTGGCCTCAAAGAAGGGCTCCTCCTTGGTATTCATGACTTTTCTTAGATTCAAATCGTGAACTCTTAGCATATTCATCAAGTTCTTGCTAATGGGGCCTTTACTAAGCTTATAGGTCAGGAATTCTTTCTAAGAGTTGTTAAGTTACTTAGATTCAGTCAATTTTTCTTCAGTTTCACTTACACACTACAGTGCCTCACAAATCTTACCGTAAAATACGTCAAACTTGCTATAGTGGTTTGTGTGAACAAGCATTATATTTGCATAAGGATTATTGTCAATCACGATGCCATAGTTGTATAGTAAGTTGTAGGAATCAAGGCTTGCTTTGTTAGTTATATTTACTGATTACCCCTTTTTGAATCCTTTATTAACTGACATATCAAGTTGCAAGCCTGGCTATGGATTAAGTAGACTTTTGACTTCGTCTTTTGGAGTTTATGGAATGTAAAAGCTAAACATGTCAATCATTGGAACAATGTAAATTGATTCAGGACCTAGTTTGTTATTGAGATCAATTCCCTCATACTTGTCGCTGCTGGATATTCCATTCATGGTTAGCCATGTTCTAAATTATAATAATTAAAATCATCAACTTCATCAGTATCAGTAATATATAGGCTAATTTCTAATATTAGTTTCAAGATTGTAAGAATAGATTAGCTGATACTCGGTACTTAAATTACTTGTTTACTTACTTTCTTTGTTGCTTCTAATGAGATTGAGTTACTGCACTCACCCACTTGTAAAATTCTCTTATATCTAAGAGTGCAGACTCCATAACCTTTTTGAACTCTTGATCCTTATGTTTGCTGAGCAGTCTCATAAACTCTTCATAAACACTTTTCCTATTTGCCTCTTTTTAGGGTTAGCTAGTGGATATATTATTGTGGAAAAATCTGAGTTCCTAACTCCAAAGTTAGACATCCTCATAGTTAATGTGATCCTTCATGTAATTCAACCAAGTCTGCATAAACTCCACGTCCTCAAAGGTATCTATCCCAAATGGCTAATCATAATTGCTCTTGAACTCGACCATGAATCTTAGTACCAATAAGTATAGATGTAAGGTTTCTCTACTTTGCTTCTTTATCTCCTAATTGAACAAGCATAAGTCCATCATTTCCTTTTTGAACTTGAAATTATCAACTAAAAAATTCGTTAAGATAAGGCATTCATTAAGTTACAGTTTGAAACAATGAATTTAAGTGGAATATTCAGCACTGTCTCATTGGCTTTAAAGTCTCTCTTAGCGGCAATGTAGAAACCATTATTAATATCATACTAAGGTTCGAGGGCATCTGAAAATTTATTGAACTGTGTTTTGTAGAAATCCAAATATCTCTAAACCTTCTCACTATGAGTCTGACTAACTATTGGCTGCAGTAGTAGTATAAAAGATACAAGAATGCAAAGATAAAGAGCTTTTTTTACTCTAATAAACTAATCCATTATTCAATTCTATGAATTTAAATATTATCTCGAACAAATACCTACTAATATCATTACTGATTATCAATGATCAGGGGTTTTGGGGTTTTGGGGTTTTGGGG